ATATATATATATATATATATATATATATATCTTTAAGGAGCAAATATAAAGCCAATAGCTAACTTTTCAACAGAAGGGAGGGAATTCTAAAGACTGTAAAATGACAACTTTAAGGTGATGAAGAAAGATAATAACTACTAATTTAGAATTGTATATCCAGTGAAAATATCCTCTAAAAATAAAGGTGAAATAAAACAGAATTACTAGCTGATTGGCACTAAAAGAAATGCTAATGGGCATTCCTCAGGCAGATAGAAGCAAGGTACGCAGGAGCAACAGAAACAGTAAATACACAGGTAAAACTAAACAAACATTGTTGAAAATAATAGTAATTTTCTAAGCAATGGCCATAGCTGCAGTGCTTAAAGTCTATTGCGCATGGATTTCATGGAGCACTATATTTTCCACAGGTTGCTTTTGGCCAGTGACTGAGAGCTGCAGGGAGATGAAGGCAGGCCCATTCTAGGGATACACAGGACTCATCTAATGGCTGACTTGGATCAAGGACTCCCTGACAGCCTGGCCAGGTTTTCCTTAGATGGCACAGCAATCTAGGATACCTCTCCAACTTCTCCTTTCTCTACTAAACTCAGATTCAGACCTGTATCATAGTCTGATGGTTCTCTGAGGCTTTCCAGGTTCCCACCCATTTTCTGTAACAGTCGTTTCTCCTAAAATTCCTTGTACATTTGATCCCATGTTGTGGCATCTGCTTCTCAGAAGACCTAGTTGAGCACAGTAGAAATTAAAGTGCATTAGAATAGCACAAAAGATAGGAGGCAGTAATTGGAGCTAAGTTCTGTATGGGTCCTTCTTGTCTTAATTGGTAAGTGATAAAGAATTAATTTAAGACCAATGGTAGTAAGTCAAGAGAAAGTAATAAGATTTTTAAAAGTGTATAAATAATAAGCTAATGGGAGAACTGGAATAATAAATACTTGATAAATTATAAAGAAGACAAGAAAGAAGAAAAGAGACAAAGAATAGATGGGATATATAGAAAACTAATAATAAAATGGTCTACTTAAATCCAAATCATTAGTAACTATATTATTATTTACAAGGCTTAATTTTTTTCAATTAAAGACAAAAGGCTAGGCACAGTGGCTCATTCCTGTAATCCTGGCACTTTGGGAGGCTAATGTGGGAGGATTGCTTAAAGCCAGGAATTCAAGACCAGCCTGGGCAACATAGTGAGATCTCCATCTCTACAGAAAAATTTACAAATTATCCAGGCATAGGCCGGGCGCAGTGGCTTACACCTGTAATCCCAGCACTTTGGGAGGCTGAGCTGGGGAGGATCACCTGAGGTCAGGAGTTGGAGACCAGCCTGGCCAACATGGTGAAACCCCGTCTCTACTAAAAACACAAAAATTAGTCAGCATGGTGGCACGTGACTGTAGTGCCAGAGGCTGAGGCACGAGAATCGCTTGAACCTGGGAGCCAGAGATTGCGGTGAGCCAAGACCACGCCATTGCACTCTAGCCTGACAGAGCGAGACTCTGTCTTAAAAAAAATAAAAATAATAACAAAATTCTATAAGGGCAATGGGATTGAACATATTTTTGCATTATTAATTCCTTCTTCCTAGGGAGTTTTTACCTGTTACAATGGCTTTGAAACTTTGCCTAGTTTATATTTAAAATAAAATACCTTTCTTGTGACAGTGGAATGAATCTAATTGCAGTTGATACAAAGTTTGTTTATAGTCAGTCTCTTAATTTATGTCAAGACTAATATCTCATTTATCAGTAGAGAAAGCAGTTCATATTTGCAAAGCATTTGTATATACATATGTATTTGATAATTTTTTAAATTATCTCCCTAGGAAACATAACTTTTGAAACAATGACGGAAATTCTTCGGGACAAACCAAGTGGCATCAATATGGAGGGAGAATTCTTGACCACTGCAAGCATGGTTTCTATTTTACCTCAAGACTCCAGCCTTCCTTGCATTCACTTCTTTACAGGGACTCCTGATCCCGAGAGGTGAAGCCACAAAATACTATAAACCAGCAAGGGGTCAGGGGGTGAAGTAGAGTCATTAGTATGTTAATGATTTTGTCAGGATAAATTTTTGTTATACAAATAGGACAATAATTTTTGATGTATTTTCTGTTCAGGCTTTAATCTGCAATATTCACTTATGCGTAACTGTTCTTTTTATGGGAAGGAAATGTGAATAGTTTCTTGTACGCATTATCCCTACTCCTTCTTCCTACAAATAGATTTAATATTGTTAAGAAAAGAAAGTAGATTTTCTTACTCAGATTTCAGATATGATATTAGATAATTCATAACAGTAAAAAGGTTAAATGATGTAGTTGTACAAGATTTACTTATGCGCTCATATCTAGAAAATAGATGTACAACTTAACATATCAATAGTTCCAGTTTTATTTAACTATAATTTTTTTGAGACAGAGGTCTCGCTCTATCACTGAGGTTGGAGTACAATGGCATGATCTCAGCTCACTGCAACCTCCACTTCCCAAATTCAAGAGATTCTCATGCCTTAGCATCCCTAGTAGCTGGGATTACAGGCGTGCAATACCACACTGACTAATTTTTGTGTTTTTAGTAGAGACGAGATTTCACCATGTTGCCCAGGCTGGTCTCAAATTCCTGGCCTCAAGTGATCTGCCTGACTCAGCCTCCCAAAGTGTTGGGATTACAGGCATGAGCCACTGCACCCAGCCCAGTTTATATTTTATGTAGTACTTTTGTAGAACATCTTGATTTAAGTCACTAGTATCTCACATTTAGAAATGATTTTATATTCACTCTCTCTTAGTGTTATAGCCTTTCACAGTATTAAAAATATCCTCAAGAAAATGGAATAAAGTCTTTGAGTCCTCCTTTTGTTTTTTGACACAGGGTCTTGCTCTGTCACCCAGGCTAGAGTGGAGCGCAGTGGCAGAGTCAGCACAGTGTAGCCTTGAACTCCTGAGCTCAAGTGATCCTCCTCCCTCAGCTTCCCAAGTAGCTGGTACTGCAGGTGCAGGCCTGGCTAATTTTTAATTTTTTTGTGGAGATGGGGTCTTGCTATGTTGCCCAAGTCTGTTCTTAAACTCCTGGTCTCAAGAGAGTCTCCCACCTTGACTTCTCAAAGTGCTGGGAATTCAGGCATGAGCCACTGTGCCCAGTCATTGTCCTCCTTACTGGCACTGATGTTTACCCCAAGTCTTAATTCTCCATGTGTAACATTAAAGGTTGTTCTTATCCTCCAACTGTGGAGTTTGAAGTAGGAAAGACAAACTATAACTTTGCTGACAGTTTATGTGCCAGGTCCTCTGTTAGGTTCATGGAAATACAAGACTAAATAAAGTATGGTTCTCTGCCCCAAAGGAGACCCCAGTGTACCAGGGAAGACAGGCATGGTATAACTAAGGTGACAGGAACAAGTTAGTTTGTAGCATCATTAACAGAAATTTCTAATTAAAATGAATCTTGGAAGACTTAGAATAACACTGAATATTTTTATATATTGAATGATAATTTAAAGACTCTTTCTTCTAGATCTGTTTTTAAGCCTTTCATATTTGTGCCACATATTTCACAACTGTTGGATACCAGTTCACCAACATTTGAACTTGGAGACCTAGTTAAAAAGAAGTCACATTTTAAGCCTGACAGAAGACACCCACTCTACCAGAAACATCAACAGGCATTGGAAGTAGTAAATAATAATGAGGTATGCTAGATTATATTATTTGTTGTATCATTAAGTATAAAGTTTGATTCAATCCGTATTTTGAACTTTGGAGTATCAGCTTTCCTCCCCTCTTATAAAAAATACAGGTTTAGGAATAGTTTGGATGCTCAGACTATAGTAGAGCTGTATTATTTTTATCTTTGGTTATGAATATATATATTGTGAATCTTGCAGAGACATTTAGCACATTAAACGTACTAACAATAGCTAACATTTGTTGAGCACTTACATAGTATTTTTACATGGATTATTTTATCTAATCTCCACAACCACTGTTTTGATTCCCACTTTGCTGATAAAGTATCTGAATCTACAAGAGTTAAAGTAACTTTCTTAGTATATAACCAAAATTTACAAAGCCTCTGAAGGGCAGTTGGCCTGGTTTCTTAATGTAATTTTCTTAATCATACAGCCCCAGATTAAAATTAATTGAAGGTGACTTAAAACCCCAGAGACTTAAACTAATAATGACTTTTAGTTTTTAAAAAGTGATGCATCCTCATTATTTTAAAATGTAAGCATTATAGAAGAGTAATATATCACTCAAAATATATCTCTTCTCTAGAAATGAGGATTTATTTTTTACTGGCATAGAAAGGTAATTTTATAATGTTCTTACCTATCCAGTCTGCTAAAGAAAAATAAGGATTTCTTTTTTTCTGGCATCAATAGATAGGTAATTTTATAATGTTCATACCTATTCAGCCCGCTACAGAAAAGCAATAGATAAGAAGGGAATGGAAAGTCTGCCTAAAGGCATCCATCCATTGACTCCCTGCAATGAAAGAAAACATTAACCATTTTAAATCTTTTTTCATCTGTTTCTACTACCTTCTGGGTTTTTTTCCCTATAATTCCTTTTACTTTGTCAAGGCATATACATTTATATTCTCTCCACACTAAAATGGATTAAATGAATTTTCCTCGGGGTAATTACTTATTTTTGTCTGCAGTGTTGGCATTGTTGCCACGCCTTTTTTTTTCCCTCACCTATTTCACTTATGCTTAAAGCAGTGAGCTCTGCTAGACTTCCGATTTTTATTTTAAAATTTTTATTTTAAATAAAAAATTTAAAGCTGTAACTATTTCGGGGGGGGGGATGGAGTTTCATTGTTGTTACCCAGGCTAGAGTGCAATGGCGCGATCTCGGCTCGGCGCGATCTCGGCTCACCGCAACCTCCGCTTCCTGGGTTCAGGCAATTCTCCTGCCTCAGCCTCCCGAGTAGCTGGGACTACAAGCGTCCGCCACCATGCCCAGCTAATTTTTGTATTATTTTTTTAGTAGAGACGGGGTTTCACCATGTTGACCAGGATGGTCTCGATCTCTTGACTTTGTAATCCACCTGCCTCGGCCTCCGAAAGCGCTGGGATTATAGGCGTTGAGCCACTGAGCCGGCCAGCTGCAACTATCTTAGCCTTTACTTAAAAAGCATAAAAGTAGAAAGATAATGGAATTTGAGAGAAGAAGTGTGAAAGAGCTGGGTTCTGGTCCTGGCTCTGTAAGTAACTACTTTTGTGTCTTAGGGAGAGTCAATCTTATGGGTAGTTTTAATTTAAATTTCTTGATTACTAGTAAGATTGAAAATCTTATCCTGTGTTTATTGGTCATGAGTATTTCCTTTTAAATTACTTGTCTATTTTTTCCCTTAGGCTATTTTTCCATTGATTTTGGGTTATTTTTGTTTTTTTGCTTTAAATAGGCAAAAATATGTGAATATTAACTGTTTGTAATAAGGCAAAATTTTACCCCAGTTTATTGTTTGGCATTTAATTGTTTTGTCAGACAAAAATTTTAAACTTAGTCAATTATATGTACTAGTCTTTTGCTTTAAGGCACCTTAATTTCATGTTTCAAAAGGCCTGTCTCACTTCAATATAAATATTACTTCTAGCATATATGTGTTTTTTTTAAATTTAGTTCTTGAGTCCATCTGTAATTTACTTTTGTGTATTTCATGAAGTAGGGATTCTAACTTTGTTTTCCAAAAAGGTAACTAATTATTCCATACCATTTATAGACAAAATCAATTTTTTCCCACTAATATGACGTGTTTCCTCAGAAAAAAAAACTGCATACAATTTCATATTGAAATCCATGTTAAGTTTTACAGTCTTTGTTTTGTAGATTTCTACCCCATAATGGTCCAAATTTTAAAAATTATGCTCACTTTCTAGTAACTTTTTTCTTTTCTTTTTTTCTTTTTATTTGAGACAGTTTCACTCTGTCGCCCAGGCTGGAGTGCAGTGGCGCAATCTCGGCTCACTGCAACCTCTGCTTCCTGGGTTCAAGTGATTCTTTTGCCTCAGCCTCCCGAATAGTTGGGACTACAGGCTCGCGCCACCATGCCTGGCTAATTTTTGTATTTTTAGTAGAGCTGGGGTTTCACTATGTTGGCCAGGCTGGTATCGAACTACTGACCTCGAGGGTCCGCCCGCCTAGGCCTCCCAAAGTGCTGGGATTACAGGCATGAGCCACCACACCCAGCCAACTTTTTTCTTACATACTTTTCCTCTAGATAACTACTTCATAACTGATCATGGTGATTCATCAACAATTTAAAAACTGCTTCTTTCTGTAGGAGTCATGGATCTTTTTTCTCCCTTTATTGAAATAAGGATGCAGTTATAGAGGAAATGTCTCCTTTTAGTTGATTTTTTCCTGAACATCACTATTCTGTTTTCTTAATCTGATATTGCTTTTAAATATAAAAGATATAAATTGATAAAAATATTTTAGCCTCAGTTTTCAGTAACCTCCCACATACACAATTCATACGAGATTTTCTATTCTCCTGTCGTCTTTTAGGGCTCTTACTTATAAACTAGTCTCATAATTATTTTTGTCTTTTCTACTAAAAATAATTAATAGTTTGGTATTCATACATTAACTCGATTTAAAGTAATGATTTCCCCAAAGAATTTCATTCTTTCTATCTCTAAAGAACAAGAAAGGAACCAAACCACAAGTAGAAGCCAGAATGAACAAACCTTATCTGTAGAGGTGGGTTGGAATTTGATTAGATTCATGTGTATGTGTATATATGTTTATCTTTATATTTTTAATTGTTTAGGGAAAAGCCAAAATAATGTTGGACTACATGAGGAAACTGGAGAAAGAGCAATTCAGACAGATGGAATCAATCCTTCAAAACAAGCATCTTGATGTGGATAAAATTGTTAATCTATTTCCTCAGTGTACAAAAGATGAAATTCAAATTTATCAGTCAAATGTTAGTTCTTAGTGATCATATGGTCAGCTAATATTAGTTCTTAGTGATCAATGGTCAGCAATCTCCGAAGTTATAATCTGTCACCTTGGTAAATTATATAAACCTAATTTGAGCAGATCTGATTATTCTTGGATAGCATTCAAGTGGTATCTTGACTATTAAAACTACATTGTTGCTGAAATACTCAGAAAGAAAACATTGGAACTGGATTAATGTATCGTGGAATGTAGGTGTTATTTCAGGTGATGTACTTATTATTTTCTTTAGCTATAGTAACTTTGTCATGATAATTAAGTATTCAATTCTATGTTAAGAATGAAACATTAAAATGATGCATGGATTTATGTTTATTATAATTATTTAGTACTCTCAAATGATTTTCTCAGTTACATCAAGAAAGCAGATTTTCCTTATTCATGAAAAACATCTCAAGTGATGAGTTCTTTGTGCTTTAGGCAAATATTAACCAGCTCTAACGAGAAAAATTTCTAGATTTACACATTGTTAATACAGTATATTAGTTCTGCAAATGCACTTTTAGTAAACTCAGACATGCTCTTTGTCAAGATTTGGCTAACCAGTGAGCTTGTAGCTCTGATTATCTAGCATTTTTAGGGTCAGTATCCTTAATAGGCTTTTTTGTTAATAAGATATATTTTTACAAGAGCTTATTTGGGAGATTAGAGAATAAGATAAAAGATCCAAACCTTAGGATATATTGTTTCTGGGTCTGAAATCTCTCTCATTGTTAACTTCTGTTCACTCAGTGAAAACAGAAACAAGAACGAGGTAGTGGCAATGAAACAAAATTATTAGTATATTATGAACATGATAACATTAACACTATAATGCATTATATATTATGAATATTATAAATGAGTAACAGCTTCCTAAAGTTTATAAAACATTGTTTAGGTTACATAAAGATTATCAAGTAAGACTCAAAATTGCAAATATAAACAAAAGAAAAATCCAACTGAAAATAACACTAAGTATTTTTGGGTTTCTAGATTGTCCATTTTGGTATTTGGTTATATTATCATATTTGCTAATTGCTATCAACACAATTAGGTTAATAAAGAAGTGGGTCATTACATTCAAAGAGTGCTCAGGAAGTTATGTCTCAAAGTTCTCTCATAATACCATCATCTGCCTGATACTGCTCTTGTCTAATATAGGGCTGACATTACAAAGGAAAAGACGTCTGACTCAAGTACTCTCTTGATTCTGTTAGCCTTAAGTTTGGTTCAGTGATAGGCTGTCTCTACATGAAGACCTCTGGCCAACCCCTATACTCCTCTCTTTTAATAGATGAGGAAACCAAGGGCACACAGTTCATTGATTTCCTCAGGGACACATGTAGGAATCTTATTTCCCTCTCTAGGGCAAGCATGTTGTCACCTTCTCCTTTGCTGCCACCCTAGACTAAATTAGCACCATCTCTTACCTGGACCATTGCAGTTAACTCTTCTCCTACACACTCCTTTTGTTCTTTATCTCCATCCACATGAGTCACTGCAGCCAGAGTAATCTATAAAAAATTTAAATTTGATTATGAATCCCCCTCCTAAAACTTTTTGAAAAGAGACTTTGTTTTTTGGAGCACTTTCAGGTTCACAGCAAAATTGAACAGAAAGTACGGAGTTTCCATATAGCCCCTATTACCACACATGCATAGCCTCCCCCACTGTCAACATCATAGTACCAGAATAGTACATTTGTTAGAATCGATGGCCCTACCTTGACACATTATCACCTGAAGTCCATAGTTCGTTAGAGATCACTGTTGATATGGTACATCCTATGGGCTTTGAAAATTGTAAAATGACATGTATTCACCATTATAGTATTATACAGAATAGTTTCACTGCCCTAAAAATCTTCTGCCTATTTATCCCACTCTCCCTCCAACCCCTGGCAACCACTGATCTTTTTACTGTCTCCATAGTTTTGCCTTTTCCATATGTCATATCATCAGAATCATACAGTATGTGATTTCTAAGGATTGTCTTCTTTAACTTACTTAGTAATATGCATTTAAGGTTCCTCCATGTCTTTTCATGACTTGATATCTCATTTTAGTTCTAAATAATATTCCATTGTCTGAATGTACCACTATTGAAGGACATCTTGGTTGCTTCCAAATTTTGAAAATTATGAATAAACCTGCTGTAGATATCCATGTGAAGGTTTCTGTGTGGACATGTTTTCAACTCATTTTGTGTAAATACTGAGGAGCACAATTGCTGGATCATGTGGTAAGAGTATATTATGTTTAGTTTGTAAGAAACTGCCAAACTGTCTTGCAGAGTGGCCAGCACTTTGCATCCCTATCAGCGCTGAATAAGAGCTCTGATGCCCTATATTCTTGTCAGCATTTATTGTCAGAATTTTGGATTTTGGCCCTTCTAATAGGTACGTAATGGTATCTTGTTTTAATTTAAAATTCCCTGAAGATATATGATGTTGAACATCTTTTCATATGATTGTATCTGTTTATCTTCTTTGGTGTGTTGTCTGTTTAGATCTTTTGCCCATTGTTTACTCAGGTTATTTTCTTTTTTTTGAGACGGAGTTTCGCTCTTGTTACCCAGGCTGGAGTGCAATGGCGCGATCTCGGCTCACTGCAACTTCCGCCTCCTGGGTTCAGGCAATTCTCCTGCCTCAGCCTCCTGAGTAGCTGGGATTACAGGCATGCACCACCATGCCCAGCTGATTTTTTGTATTTTTAGTAGAGACGGGGTCTCACCATGTTGACTGGGATGGTCTCGATCTCTTGACCTCGTGATCCACCCGCCTCGGCCTCCCAAAGTGCTGGGATTACAGGCTTGAGCCACCGCACCCGGCCTACTCAGGTTATTTTCTTATTGTTGAGTCTAAAACTCTTTAAATGCCAAAAAGATCCCACTGATCTGCCTCATCTATATCTTATTACACCTTCAACCATTGTGTTTTATGTTTCTACTATGCTGCTCTTTCATGTCCTTGAATGTGCCTTCCTCATGGCTGTACTGTCTGTACTATTCATTCCATGTGCTCTCATTTACATAAGTAACACTTTACATCCTTTCAAGTTTCGCTAAGACATGACTTCCTCAGGGAAGTTTTCCTCACACCACAAGTTCTATCTTACATACTCTTAGAGGCACTCCTGATCACAGGTTAATCATGTCTAACATCTATTTTTCACAGAATAGAAGCTCCATGAGGATGGAATCATATTTGTTTCCACTCTTGTATGCTCAGTGTTCAGATTGTGTCTGGTACATGCTAGATTGCTCAATAAATATCTGTTAAATGACTGTTGGGAAGAGCTTAGACAGTGCCTCTTCTCTGCCTGTGGAAATGTAAAGTTGAAGAAATTATCTAGACAACCTATCTGCACAACTTGGTATCCTTTGATAAGTCTCAGGTTAACCTGTCACCTCTTAGATATTGTGTATTATTTACTATTACTTAATAAGCCAGGGCAATAATATGAGTATTCTAGAGAAGGCTATTTTGTTTGATATGTGATGAAAACATCAGTTTTTATATGTTAATCATGAATCAAATGTTTTGCTCTAGAAGTAACTACGTAGCCTAGAATTTTGGAGAGTTAGTTTCTTCTACAGAAACTACAGAGCTAATGTTTTCTCTTTTTCATTAATTCAGCCTTTTATCATACCAATTGCAGAAATTTATAATCTCATCTTTTCTTGAAGAATGGTGATAACATTTATGATCCTGAACTTTTTTTCCAGCCATCACTTATCACATGACTATCTATGTCCAGTGGCCTAATTTAATATTTTACATGAGATTTGAAGGGGTATACACTAAGAGCTGTATTCTGCTGCATAACAAACATATAAAACACTAGTTTCACATTTTTCTTGCTTTAGAAATTTACTGATCACTAATTGTTGTTCTCAAAATGCCAAATACCCTTTATCTTCATCCAAAAATATTGAAAGCTAAGTACAAGCTAGGCATGGAGTTACTCATTGAGAGTTAAGAAAACAATTGATTCTGCACATCAAGAGGTGCCTGGTTAAAAAAATAAAAAATGAAAAAAAAAAAAAAGAAACAATTGACTATGCTGAAGAAAAAGATATAGGTTCTAATCTATTTTTTATCACCTTTTTTCTAGCTGTCATTATATATATTGAAAATGATGAAATGTATGAAAAGGACTCTAATGTCATATCAACTCATTCATAAAAGTGTTTACAGAATGCACAATTAGGAAACCCTGTTTGCAGAACCCAGAGTCATGAAGAATAAAACAACTCAGGAAACCCACTTAAGAAAACATTGAGAATGTATAGAAAAGACCTCTATAATGGCTTTTGCACTATTCAGATTAGTCAAATAAAAGATGTCAGCAATGCAAGTTAAAATAGGTATTTTATTGAGAAACTTGCTTTATCAGTGAGAAAGTAACAGTTACAAATATTTTCATTTAATAAAATTAGCATATTTTTAATTCTAAAAATGTCTTTTAAAAGCCTTTATTATCTGAAACTGCAGATCATTCTGATTCAGGGTTTTCTTTTAGTGTCTCCCTTGGAAAAAAATGTTGCAGATTCCATTCGTGCAAATAACATGATAAGTATTTATGACTTGTTCACAAACAAATTCTCCACTTGAGTTTGAGTTGTCTGCATGCATGAGAATTAATATCTTTATTATTGTAACTATAAAAGTCTCCTGGTAACAGCAATGAGGCCTTAGGCTTACCCTGAGCATTCAGAGTCATAATGTGGTCATATTTAAAAAAGGAAAATTCCACAGCAAGACAGCAAAACATCCCCATTCACTAATCACAACTTAAAGTTGGTACAGGTTAATAGCACACTAAAATATAACTTATCTGTTATTAATAAATACAGGCTTCCATGCAGGGTTTTTTGTTTGTTTGTTTGCTTGTTTTTGAGATGGAGTTTCCCTCTTGTCACCCAGGCTGGAGTGCAGTGGCATGATCTCAGCTCACTGCAACCTCTGCCTCCGGGGTTCAAGTGATTCTCCTGCTTCAGCCTCCTGAGTAGCTGGAATTACAGGCATGTGCCACCATGCCCAGCTAATTTTGTATTTTCAGTAGAGATGGGGTTTCTCCATGTTGGTCAGGCTGGTCTCAAACTCCTGACCTCAGATGATCTGCCCACCTTGGCCTCCCAAAGTGCTGGGATTACAGGCATGAGCCACTGACCCTGGCCTCCATGTGAGTTTTTAAAAAATTGTATATTTGTTGCATTAAAAGGGCAATGGCTCTAACCCTATAAATTATTTTATAAATAACTTTTACATGAGACACTAAAAATATAATTAAATAAATATCTGAAACATGTTTAAAATAAGTTAAACCAGCACTGACATCTAATAATTAAGATGTTCAAAGGACATGTGAATAGATCTCTTTTTAATTTACTGAAGATCTCTTTTAAATTTACCTCAGATAACTGAGGATGCTATGGTCTAAATGTCTACGTCCTCCCCAGAATTCATATGCTGGAACCCAGTCCTCAATGTGTTGGTATTAGGAGGTAGAGCCTTTAAGAGGTTATCAGGTCATGAGGGTGGAGCCCCAATGAGTGGAATTAATGCCCTTATAAGGGGTTGAAGATACCAGTTCTTCCCATTTACTATGTGAGGACACAGCAAGAAGGTACCATCTCTGAGCCAGAAATTTGACCCTCATCAGACACCAGATCTGTTGGTGCCCTAATCTTGGGCTTCATGACCTCCAGAAGTGTGAAAAATAAGCTTCTGTTGTTTATAAACTGTCAAGTTTTTGATACTTTGTTATAGTAGCTGAAATAATAGACTAAGAGAAGGCAACATTTAGTAATTTTAAAAATTATATTTTTTTATACATCGACACTTAAAAAAGACTAAATTCTAAATGTAATCTTTAGAGTTTTTTTTTGTTGTTGTTTGTTTGTTTTGTTTTTTTTTTTTGTCGGGGGAGACAGAGTTTCACTCTTGTTACCCAGGCTGAAGTGCAGTGGCAGGATCTCGGCTCACTACACAACCTCTCCTTCCAGGTTCAAGCAATTCTCTTGCTTCAGCCTCCCAAATAAGCTGAGATTACAGGTGCATGCTACCACACCTGGCTATTTTTTTAATTTTGTTTTTAGTAGAGACAGGAATTCACCAGGTTGACCAGGCTGGTCTCGAACTCCTGGGCTCAAGCAATTCACCAACCTCAGCCTTCCAAAGTTCTGGGATTACAGGTGTGAACCACCATGCCTATCCTAGGTTTAGAATTTTTAAATACTGGCTTGAACTATATACTATATAGTTTTTTCTTTTCTAACTGCAGGGAATAAAGTAGAAGGGCTATCCTGCATTATGATGCGTTGTTCAAATACAGAAATGATACCTCATATGGCAATAATTTTGTTTATAAAATTCAAATTAATCTGCTCAAATTATTATTTGTAGCATAAAAGTTAAATAAAGATCAGATTACACTTCTGCAGAAGGATTGTGGAGATAATATTTATGGAGGTTCTAATTCTTTTCCTTAATGGCATAGATTAGTAATTTGGGTAGAAAAGAAAAGACAAACTTTTAAAAAACTGGTGCTTCTAAGGTTGTTTTGCTTGGTTTTTTTTGTTTTTCAGACAGGGTCTTGTTCTGTACCCAGGCTGGAGTGCAGTGATGCAATGTTGGCTTACTGCAACCGCAACCTACCCCTCTCAGGCTCAGGGGGAACTCCCACCTCAGTCTCCCAAGTAGCTGGGACTAGAGGCACCTGCCACCACACCTGGCTAATTTTTTTGTATTTTTTAGTAGAGATAGGTTTTTGTCATGTTGGCCAGGCTAGTCTTGAACACCTGACCTCAAGTGATCCACCCGCCTCAGCCTCCCAAAGTGCTGGGATTACAGGCGTGAGCCACCTTGCCTGGCCTACACCATTTTATATAAGGGACTTGAGCATCCTCAGATTTTGGGATCTTCAGGAGTCCTGGAACCAATCCCCTGTGGATACTGAAGGATGACTATAATTATTATATTCAGTATCAGAACTTTAATTTGGTTTTCTTTTTCATAAGTCAGCTTCCTATGTATTTTACATACACATAAAATCACAGACCCTGAGCACATGGTGGGAACACATCTTATCACATTTTACAGAAGAGACAACTGAGGCTCAGAGAGGTTGCCTCTGGAACTGGCCCAAGGTCACCCAGCTAAAAAGTAATGAATATGGGGCTAGAATATGATTCCCATGTAGGGTTCTCCCCTTCATAATTTAGGTCTTAGGCGAATGTGAGGGTGGGGATGAATGCTCAATTTCTTTATATCTTTCCTGTTGGACAGTGTTTGCATTAATAGCAGGAGGACTCTGTTCAGGACTCTTTTGAAGAAATCTGTAAAATAAGTACTCATCCCGGAATTCATACTCGTTGGTAATATGTTGGATGACTCCCCCTTGTACCAGCCTGTCTCCGTATATCACAGCTTCACCACGGTCAGAGGCAAGGCCAACTTCAATTAGCCAGTTCACCAGGTCACAGCCACAGAAAGTTCCAGCAGAAGTCTTTGCACCACACCTGTGTCAAAGGAATGATTCACTCATATGTTCTGTAAATCTGGTATCAGCACTGCATGATAGAGGACAAGCAAGGAAAAATAGAAGGAAAGAAGGAAAGACAGCATGATAGTTAAAAGCATGGCAGGAAGGAAACTGTTCTGAATAGAAAGGGTTTGTTAACTCTCCTGACCCTAGAAAGACCCACTGGAGGAAAAAATATACCAGTAACGCTTGTAAAAACAGAAATGCTAAAACATTACCAAAAAATGTCATAGACAATATAAATGTACTTACAAAGAAATGCTCTTTTTATTATCAGCTCTGTCCTGTACATAGCTGAATATTATATATTTTATAATTTATACTTTTAGTTATACTAAGTAATTTGTCTCAGGAACACTAAATATTTTTCACAAGCTCTTAAGTTATTATTTTCACTAAGCTATTCACATCAAACTTTTTAGCTCCATAGACATCATGTATACATATGCGCTACATACATCATAGTGCCCACAAGTAGCCTTTCTTCTTGCCCTCACCAGGCAAGACAATCCTACTGATGTGTTTGTCAGAAATTTGCTTCATTAGGAAGCAAGGACAGAATAAATGAGATCTAACTTGCTACAAATCTAAGATTTTTAAAATGTGCTTTGTGAATCTACTTCTTGAGTGTTTAAAATCTGTCTTCTTGAAACAAATATGGGATGTCTTAAGTATGTACAAATAACAAAAGAGAGAGAGATACAGGGGAAAATATCTAATTACATAAATGCTGTACATTTCCACACAAATACATAGTAGCTAGACAACATGAATCTGTGCACAAGCATCACTCAGGCTATAAAACCTAAAGTACTTGACATGGGAAATGGTGGATGAAGATCAAGATGAAAGGAAAAACAGGTACTAAAAATTTTAAAACATTTCACCATAAATGAATATTCATTAGAGTTTATATAAGAATTAGAAAAAAAGGTTAATACTCATGAAAAGTTTTCTCAAGTACATAAGATTACAACATTTTAATATCAGTATTTCATTTAGTGATGTCATCTTAATTTATGTCTTGCAACTAGAAACACTATATTCAACAAAAACCTGAATATCATAGTATGTGTTAGCTTCTTTTTGCTTGTTGATTTTTTTGATTTATAGCCTAACACCTTCTATTCCAGACACCAACAGAATATTTGTTTCCTGATGACTGTGATCAGGCAGCTGTAATAAGGGCCCATGGCCAGGCACAATGGCTTACGCCTGTAATCCCAGCACTTTTTTGGGGAGGCCGAGGTAGGCAGATCGCTTGAGCTCAAGAGTTTAAGGCCGGCCTGGCCAATGTGGCAAAACTCTGTCTCTACTAAAAAAGTTCAAAAAATTAGCTGGGTATGGTGGCACACACCTGTAGTTCCAGCTTCTCAGAAGGCTGTGGTGTGAGAATCACCTGAGCCCAGGAGGTTGAGGCTGCAGTGAGCTGAGATTGTGCCACTTCACTCCAGCATGGGTGACAGGAGTGAGACTCTGTCTCAAAAAAACAAAAAAGCAACCCATGGAGCTGTACAAAGTGGCAGAGAATGTGACACTGTGCAGGCTATAGATCCTGGAAAGGGGCAGGGAGTAGGCCAGCATGCTCCCAGCTGGTGTCCATGCAGCCAAATGGGACTGAGGCAGCCTGGCAGCCCTGCAAATTGCAAGAGCTATGCTTCCTTCCTGAGAACTGGCAATCACAATGGGCCTGAAAGAGCTAACATGGAGTTCTCATTTTTAATTTCAAAAAGCAGGGTTTTGAAATTAAAACCCTGGGCGCAGTGGCTCATGCCTGTAATCGCAGCACTTTGGGAGGCTGAGGTGGGTGGATCACCTGAGATCAGGAGTTTGAGACCAGTCTGGCCAACCTGGTAAAACCCTGCCTCTACTAAAAATACAAAAATTAGCTGGGCATGGTGGCATGTGCCTGTAGTCACACAGCCAACAAGAGGGAGTTCAGGAGCTGAGTTCTAGTATTAGTTCACACCCCTGCGTCCCCATTTCCACTCTCTGTCCCAGGCTACCTTCTGATTATAATGACATATGTGTTAAATATAGTGGCATAATATATGTAAATAAATTATCCTTAATACTAATTTTCATACATTTCATATTTTCAGTTATAGACAGAAAAGTATTTGGTTCTTTGTATTTTGTTTTCTCTTTTATGACAACCAGCAATACTGGTAGTATAGTATTTATTCAAAGTTCATAATTTCCTGCTGTGTACTTCATTTATAAATTTTCTTTTTCCTCATCCAAAATTAAAAGAGAACCTGCAATATACTTCATACATTAAGGATTAGAATAATAAATATGTCACAGACTAAAGATTAGAACTTGAATTGAAACATAAGCAACAAAATTAAGAGGCAGAAATTTCATTTCATTTTCTTGACAATTGCATTTGTCAAGAAATGGTGAGGTGGGAATATAACGTCACTTCTAAATCCAATATATCTCAGGGTTTTCTGAGACACACTACTGGCCAACTTGAAAGGAGTGTTAATATTCTATGACATTTTGGTTCATTTTAAACTGAAGTGTTCACATTTTGCATGGCAACCAAAAGTGATATGACATTTTAAAAACATTAAAATCATAGTAATATGACTCTTTGATGTGCCATTTCTGAAACTATAAACTGACCATAATTCTTTTAACTTTTACATGCACATGTAAAAATAATCATGTAATCAGTGACAGCCACCTCGTTTAGCCCATTACCATCCAAAATTAATCATTTAAAATATAATTATCTAGAACCTGTATTGGCAGTTTGCTTACCTTCTTTCTTTGACAATGTTTCGGATACAGAGGTCACGGTGATAATGGATAAATTGTTGACAGGTCATTCTTATTTCCTCTGAAACAGGAGAATCCCTATTTTCTGCTGTTTCTTTATTGTTCCATAGGAATTCTAGTCTGAAAATCAAATTTAAGGCCATTTTTAAGGAAAGAAAATCACTGAGACAGAACTCTTCCTGCCTTATCACCCCATCAAAATGGCTGTACCAAGGCTGTGGATCTCCAAAGCCGTCATCTACAACACCCAGACATCATTAGTCTCAGAAGCAAAAACATTCTACGTTCATTTTCCTATTCAAAGCTTACTGGGGTGGAAGACTTAATCATTTTATAAACCCTCCAGACATGTTCAACCCATTTCAGGTTCTACTAATAAATGTTCCTTACTCTACATTCTACTGTTTTGAAATGCCAAGATAAATTAGAGATCAAATATTTTGTTTAATCACTGTCCTATAGAGTACCAATACTGGAGTACAGAGCGGTTTTGTTTCAGCCGTCCTAGACAACAGAATTGTTGATTACTTTACCCCATCAACATTATGAAGCTGATAACTAAGTTCAATGACTTTCCAATTATGCTTTTCCTCTTTCATGAAATGATTATGAACCTAGCAACTACATCTTGATGATGATGATAAAGAAGAAAGAACCATTACCATTTACTAGGCGCTTTTCATAGAGCTAGTAGGATACATTTCTTTAGCACTTTCGGTTTCTACAAATTTTGACTTTGAAAACACATGAAGTACAAAGATTTGTCCCCACCTCTTCCTCCTACCCCCATGTTGGAGTATTACTATTTGTTATTTTTCATAAAAAAAATCCCTGATCTTAATTCAAAGAAACCCTTCACTAAGCTGATAAAAAACCAACAATTTAGAAAGAAAACTTGAGTTTCCTGTAAACTGTCAATTTGATTAAAAGAGAAATTGTGTTGTCAAAGGAGAAAGACAATCAAATACAGACCATGGGGGCACACCACCTACTCCTTCCATTTCCAAAGACATTTTCAAGTGTCATTTAACTTTATGTAGTTAATGGCATAGATAGAAATCAATGTCCATCAATTCTTGTTAAAGTACAAATTACAATGCTGGATTTATAATAGTTCCTGCAATTTTTTTTTGCAATTGTTTATAACCTTTGTGTGGCATTTAGCGGTGTCCTAGCAGTTAATAAAGGTTTAAAAACATCAGTATCTTTCTGTGTGTGTGTGTGTGTGTGTGTGTGTGTGTGTGTGTGTGTGTGTGTGTGAGAGAGAGAGAGAGAGAGAGGCAGAGAGAGAGTACATGCACGTGCGCACATGAGAGAGAGAGAGAGACAGGGTCTTGCTCTATCGCCCAGGCTGGAGTGCAGTGGCACAATCTCAGCCCACTGCAACCTCTGCCTCCCAGGTTCAAGCCATCCTCCTGCCTCAACCTCCTGAGTAGCTGGGACTACAGAAGCATGCCGCCACACCTGGCTAATTTTTGTACTATTTTTTTTGTAAAGACAAGGTTTCACCATGTTCCCCAGGCGGGTCTCAGACTCCCGAGTTAAAGCAATCTGCCCATCTTGGCCTCCCAAAGTACTGGGATTACAGGCAGCCACCAGGCCTGGCCCCATTATAAGTATCTTAATAGAATGGCTTTGTCATCACATTTACAGATACGGATTTATTTCAAAACCTAATTTACCTTCTTTTGAAAGGTAGGATGATTAAATGTTTATCTAATCCAAAGATTCCAAAGGAAATAAATCCCTAGGGAAGAAAACAAAGTTATTTTTTTCTGAATTCAACAATAACATTTTAAAACGAGAAATTTAGGAATCACAAAATTTAGTGATGGAAGAGGCAAACTTACAGTGACAAGAGCAACGTTTTAAAATACAAACATAAAGCAGACCCTTCGAAGGCAGATATGATCCTTTGCTGCCTTTCCCAGTCATTCTATCCTACTTATGATGAGTGATACAACCCGGGGCTGGGCAGCCACATTTACACACATGATAGTAAAATGAAAACATTTAAGGGTACATATGTCTTTGTTTCTCCTTTATCAAAAGAAAACATTTCCCACTGTGCTTAAGTATTTATTTTTCCATGAAATGTCATAAATTATAATTAACAAGTGTTGCAGTATCTAATAATAATACAGTAATTGAACAGAATTTATGTAAGGTGAAACTGGCTAGTGGTTAGGGGAAGAGTTTAAAGGATGTTGACAACGTGACTTTTTTCTCACTCCGTCGTCCGGGTTGCAGTGCAGTGGCACGAACTCGGCTCACTGCAACCTCTACCTCCTGGCTTGAAGAGATTCTCATTCCTTAGCCTCTGTAGTAGTTGGGATTACAGGCATGCACTACCACGTCTGGCTTTTTTTTTTTATATATATATTTATTGTAAGATGGGGTTTCACCGTGTTAGCTAGGCTGGTCTTGAACTCCTGGCCTCAAGTGACCTGCCCATCTTGGCCTCCCAAAGTGCTGGAATTACAGGAGTGAGCCAAGGAGCCCAGCCCCGATGTGACTTATTAAGATCACACCAAAGTTACTACCTGGTATTTTTCTGGTGGAAGCACTCAGTGTACATTCTGATGACTTTAAGCAATATAATAGTTCTTCTCTACTAGAAGACAGGCAGCAGCTGTCAGCTGTCATGCATACCAGCAGCTGGCAAACAAACCAAACCCTTTTATGTGAAAGAAAACAACATTCTCATCCATTCCCCACTTCCCCCCAACCCCCACCAATCAACCTATCCAGGAAAACAAAAACCCCTCAAAGTTCTCCGTAAATAAATACCTGGCCAAAGTTAAACACAGCACAGAAAAACTGTAACTCAACATAAAGTCTTCCAGGCTCTTGGTTGAATAGCCACCATAAACAACTGGAAAGATTCTGTAATGGAAGGAGAAAAGAGTATTTTAAAAATGAAGCAAGCTAATAATTCCACTCCATCCACAGCATAGTACAATAACTTACCTACTTAATAATTACAGGGAAAAAGACTAGAGGGAAAAACACTGAGAGAATACAGAGGCTTTGTCTTTTCAACAAGAAGTTTCAACCTCTCCTCCTGACAGATGTCATTCAAACAGTATCTATTCTGATCAGATTGAAGTAAGAAGACATGAGCCATAATACAGAAGCTTACATAATGTATCAAGATTGCCGACTAGCCTAAGACAGGCCGATTTTAAATTTAGTTCTACACAATGAAAACAATTACATCACTAAGCAATTCCTGGCAGCATTTCTTATTTTTGATTTTTGTTATTAAACAGCACGTAAAGTGGTGGTGGCTGATAATCACACTATCTCATGAGCATCCCAGTGTGAAAAGGGTTCCTTCATAGGTTATCTGGTCCCTCTCCTACCTCTGGACAAGTTATACTTGAACCATCTCAAAGAATAATATAACAACTGGTAATTCACAAATAGGACGTTTAGTAACCAAAGAAATGCATGTAGTCTAAAAATAAAGTACTGTATTTTATTTTTCTCTATTTTGTAAGCAACTATTGTATGAAGCAGTTATGTTATTTTGGTAAGTGAAAAATATTTTTTAAAGCTTATCCAATGAATATGTTCTAAGAGGTTTTTTGGTTTTCTTTTTTCTTTCTGGTGGGCTCTGAGGTTTCATTTTTCTGAGAGATTAATGTAGGCATTTATCCATTTTGGTCAGGTATATTAGGAACAAGAGGCCATGTGTACATTATTGAAATACCTGCTTTTACCAAATTCTAGGTTCAGAGCATAGAATGAATAAATGATTCTAAGCAGAATAAGCTATTGGAGCACTTAGGCCTCAGAAATGTAATGTGAATGATTCATCTCTTCCCCTCACACCCCCAAAGATTTAACTCAAGATTTGAATTCAGGTGACCTAGCTATCACACTTCTGGAAAGCAGCAACTAAGATTTTCCCAGATGCCTGAATAAAACCTTTCCCAAAAATGTAGAGAAATGGCCCCAAAACAAAACCAGAAAAAAACAATTACAGCAAACAGGCCAATGATGAGAAGTAAACACAGCAACACATGTCGGGTCAGTTGCTGGTCTCCACTTTGTAGATACTGTTCTTCTTCCTGAGCTAATATGCAGCTCTGGGAGTTACAGCGACTCACACAAAGATCGTCTATAAAACAGTAAGCACAACAATTTGTAATCAGAGCTTTTTATCTAAATGCATTTTAAATGTGTAATGACTTCCTGAGAGAAACAACAGAAAAGCACATTCAGCTAAGAATCAGTATAATATTTTAGATGAAATTGGAGGAAAGCTCCTTCATGTTGTTTTAGAAGAATTCTAGTTGAAGTGTTTTTATCTCAAAAAACGTAAGTAGAACGCAATAGTTCTTTTTTTACACTATTCAACAATGTTATATATATAATTATCTAATATAAGTTATATAATTTGGCCTTTAAAAATCACACATAATTTGGCCATGTGTGGTGGCTCATGCCTGTAATCCCAGCCCTTTGGGAGGCTAAGGTGGGCAGATCACCTGAGGTCAGTAGTCCAAGACCAGCCTGGCCAACATGGTGAAACCTTGTCTCAACTAAAAATACAAAAAACAAAACAAATAACTCCATTTAAAAATGGGCAAAAGACATGAACAGACACTTCTCAAAGAAGACATACAAGTGGCCAACAAACATTAAAAAAAAGCTCCACATTGCTAATCATCAGAGAAATGCAAATCAAAACCACAATGAAATATCATCTCATACTAGTCAGAAGGGCTGTTATTAAAAAGTCAAGAAACAACAGGTGCTGGTGTGGTTGCAGAGAAAAGGGAATGCTTATATACACCATTGATGGGAATGTAAATTAGTTCAGTCACTGTGGAAAGCAGTTTGGAGATTTCTCAAAGAACAGCGAGCGATCCCATTACTGGGTACACATCCAAAAGAAAACAAATCGTTCTACCAAGGCACATGCAATTGCATGTTCATCACAGCACTACTCACAATAGCAAAGACATTGAATCAAACTAGGTTTGAATCAATGGTGGACTACATAAAGAAAATGTGATACATATATACCATGGAATACTATGTAGCCATAAAAAGGAGATAGGCCAAGCACAGTAGCTCATGCCTATAGTCCCAGCACTTTGGGAGGCCAAGGCAGGCGGATCACTTGAGCTCAGGAGTTCGAGACCAGCCCAGGCAATATGGCAAAACCCTGTCTCTAAAAAACAACACAAAACAAAACAAAAATTAGCCAGGCATGAATAATAGTACATGCCTGTGGTCTTGGCTACTTGGTAGGCTGAGGTGGGACGATGGCTTCAGCTCAGAAGGCAAAGGTTGCAGTGAGCTGCTCACTCCAGCCTGGGTGGCAGAGCCAGACCCTGTCTCAAAAAAATAAAAGAATAATGTCCTCTGCAGCAACACGGATGCATCCAGAGGCCCTAATCCTAAGTGAATTCACATAAGAACAGAAAACCAAGTACTGCATGTGCTCACTTATAAGTGGGAGCTAAACATCAGATACTCATGGACTTAAAGATGGTAACGATGGAAATTGGGGACTACAAGAGGTGGGACGGTAGGAGGGAGGGGGCAAGGGCCAAAAAACTACTGGCTACTATGCTTTGAGGTGATGGGATCATTTATTTGTACTCCAAACCTCAGCATGACACAATATACTCAGGTAGCATAACTGCACATGTCCCCACTGAATCCAAAAGTAAAAGTTGAAAAAAATTTGCCTTCAAAAAGACCTTTGAGGAACCACAAAAGTATTTATATGCCATGTTTTGTTCACATCTGGAACCAAACACAACTCACAGGCATGACTCTTTTCTGGCCAAAAATAGAGGTGAGGTACTTTTCACAGGAAGTCTTTGTTTTTCTACCTCAGCTCCACTCTATCTACAGGAGCAAAAGCAAAGAAAAATATTTTTTACAAAATAGATGTCTACTCCAACATACGGTCTTATACAAGTCAATGATTAAAAACCACAATTCTGGCTGGGCATGGTGGCTCATGCCTGTAATTCCAGCACTTTGGGAGGCCAAGGAGGGCAGATCGTGAGGTCAGGAGTTTGAGACCAGCCTGGCCAACATAATGAAACCCCATCTCTACTAAAAATACAAAAATTAGCCAGTCATGGTGGCACATGCCTGTAGTCGCAGCTACTTGGGAGGCTGAGGCAAGAGAATCGCTTGAACCCAGGAGGCGGAGGTTGCAGTGAGCTGAGATCATGCCACTGCACTCCAGCCTGGGCAACAGAGCGAGACTCCAACTCAAAAACAAAAAACAAAAAAAAACCCACCAGAAAAACCCCACAATTCTATAGCTCTTGCCCTCGACCTAAAAGAAAAAAAATTTGTATTTCCTAAAGCATTTTAGAAAAGGCCATGTATACCTGTTAAACATGGTCTAGCTGTTGCTAATAGCATGGAAGTAGCTTCGTAATGTTGCTTAGTAAAATGAAAGTAGGTTGCCAAACTGTCTTTGTAATATGATCCTATTTTAATAAAAATTATTTATATATATATGTGTGGAAAAATTCTGGAAGTATACCTATATATAATAAATCTGGTTTTAAAATATTATGTACAGGCCAGGTGCAGTGGCTCATGCCTGTAATCCCAGCACTTTGGGAGGCTGAGCTGGGCAGATCACTTGAGGTCAGGAGTTTGCGATCAGCCTGGCCAGCATGGTGAAACTCTGTCTCTATTAAAAATACAAAAACATTTAGCTGGGTGTAGTGGCAGGTGCCTGTAATCCCAGCTACTTGGGAGGCTGAGGCAGGAGAATTGCTTGAATCCAGGTGGCAGAGGTTGCAGTGAGCCAAGATCACGCCACTGCACTCCAGCTTGGGTGACAGAGCAAGACTTCATCTAACATGTATACAGAGAGTACAGATATTACAAAAATGGATAAAAATAAATCTGTCTTTCATTTGCTTTTTCACACATTGTTGCCATTTAACAATCTAAATGTGACACTTACTTTTGCTTTTGTACTATGCCAAGGAGAATGAATTATATTGTCAACTATAAAAATTCTAATTTGCCAATGGTTTAATTTCCTGGACTTTAGGTTTAGGAATGATACTAAATTGTACGATTAGATGAAGTCCCTATACAATAGATCTCATTCTATATAATTTTTATAAAATAACATCAGAAAATCCAAGCCCCTATAATTTAAGATAATTTTCAAGAATCAACTTTTTGTTTGTTTTTGAGACAGGTTCTTCCTCTGTTGCTCAGATGTGATCATGGCCTATTGCAGCCTCAGCCTCCTGGGCTCAAGTGATCCTCCCACCTCAGCCTCCTGAGTAGCTTGGATTACAGGCATGAGCCACTGCACTCAGCTAATTTTTTTTGATTCTTTGTAGAGACAGGGTCTGGCTATGTTGCCCATGCTGGTCTTGAACTCCTGGGCTCAAGCACAATCCTCCCACCTTGGCCTCCCAAAGTGCTGGGATTATAGGAGTGAGCCACTATGCTCAGCTGAAAATCAACATTATTAATGAAGAAAATGACAGATAAGCAAAGCCTGAGATTTGGGGAGGGAAAAAGAACTCTGCCAAATCAGATTACATGTTGAATTCGTTCATGGATTTTACTATTTCTCCCTACATTGTGTAGGGAGAAAACAATAAGAAGAAAGCCTTGGAAATTCTGATATAAAGAAACAATTTTAGAAAAAAGGCAGACACATAAAACAAAGACATTTTAACTGCCAGAAAGGGTTTCTTGTAAAAGAAAAAAAAGACAGTGAATGCTTGATTGCTGATATGTTTTAACACCTTTTTATGGAAATGTGAATTCTACTATTATTTAAGATTCATTCCTTGCCAACAGAGAGCAGCCAAATATAAATCCCATCTGAATAATAAATATGAACTGCTACTACATATTTTAATGAGCATTTTTCTATGCATACCACACACCATGCTAAGTGATTTGCATACATTGTTTCTTATAATCCTTACAATATTTCTTATATAAAAACATAATGCCTTTAGCAGTAATACTGTTGACATATGCCTTATCAAAAAGAGCGTTTTTGGGGGTTTCCTTTTTAGTTTTATTATAAATAAGTAAAATCAATAAAAAATGCATTGTAATTCCACATAAGCATGTTCAGTTGTTTTGAAAAATTTGAAATTTAGGCCACAAATGTAATTCAGTCTCTTGGTCAAAGGTTATTACTTTTAAAGGTGTTTGTTCCTTAAAATAATGGCAATATTTAAAGCATAAAGGTTCAAAATATAATTAGAACTAATTAATTAGTTCTGGTCCTGGAGGATGAGAGTTGGAGGAAAAGTCTCAGCTTCTAAAACAAGAAAAAGCCCTCCCTCTTCCCACATCCCACCAAAATGCCCTTTAGGGCAAACTTCCTGGATTTGTCACTTGGGTTAAATTTATTGGAAAATGTGTGTATGATACTACCTATTTCTGCTTTATGAGAACTTTATTATTTTAAGTGAGTATTCTATCTATGCACAATTATTCCCTATTAGTACTTTTTTAAATTGAGACAGAGTTTTGCTCTTGTTGCCCAGGCTGGAGTGCAATGGTACAATCTCAGCTCACTACAACATCTGTCTCTCAGGTTCAAGTGATTCTCCTGCCTCAGGCTCCCAAGTAGCTGGGATTACAGTCTCGTGCCACCATGCCCGGTCTTGAAATCCTGATCTCAGGTGATCCACCCACCTTGGCCTCCCAAAGTTCTGGGATAACAGGCATGAGCCACTGTGCTCGGCCAGCACTTTTTTGCTCTTAATTGAGAATCTATATTATATTCTTGGTGTTTTTAGCTTTTGTAGATATCCTATGTAGGGTTCTTTCGACGGATCAGGATAAGGAATATTCTGTGCCTTAATCCCATCCCCATAGTCCAGGGGCACTTACTTTTCTCAAATGAAGGAATCACAGGCTCACTGGAGCTTGTGTTTGCTACTGGCTCTATTGATGAGCAGTGCAATTCACCATTTCCCATGGAGCAGGAGCAGCAACCTGTATCAATCAAATAGTATGTGAGAGTAGAGCCCAATTACAGCAGAAATGGACAATTTTAAGACATGCCAAAGAAAACAAAACCAAACCACTCACATGCACTTCCCATGTAGCCTCAATAGTTTTCACATGGTATCTATCCAAAAGTATCCAAATGTTCTCACTCACACGCAAAATATAAAAAACTTCATCTCAGAGTAGTGAATGTGGCCAGGCATGGTAGCTTATACCTGCTGCTTTGGGAGGCTGAGGTGGGAGGATCACTTGAGGCTAGGAATCTAAGACCAGCCTGGGCAACACAGCAAGACTCTGTGTTTACAAAACACTTTTTAAAAAATAGCTGGGCATGTTGGCATGTGCCTATAGTCCAGCTTCTTGGGAGGATGAGGTGGGAGGATTGCTTGAGCCCAGGATTTCAAGGTTACAGGGAGCAATGACTGCACCATTACACTCCAGCCTGGTGACAGAGCAAGACTGTTGAAGGAAGGAAGGAAGAAAGGGAGGGAGGGAAGGAGGGGAAAGGGAAAGGGAAATGGGAAGGGGAAGGGGAAAGGAACCTAAGGAAGGGAGGGAGAGAGGGAGGGAGGGAGGGAGGGAGGGGGGAGGGAGGGAGGGGAGGGGGAGGGGGGGGGGGGGGGGAAGGGGAAGGGGAAGCATGTATCTTAAATGTTTTGTTTAAGGGAAACTTTCTTGAACTCTTTTGAATATCATAAGTACTTGTCAAATGAAGAATCTACATCATAGTCAACAAAATTGCTTGTAAAATTATTCATTTAAAAAAATAAAATTAAAAAGATCATACTTGTTTCTGGAATAGAGCTTGTAAAAAGTTCTGGTTCATTTATTGGTGCTGGTCTCTCCTCAAAAGCAGTATTTCCAGGCTCCACTGCTTTGTGGCTCTGAGACTGGTCAAAACCTTCATAGCTTCCTGCTTGTGTGGTTCGGTTCATGCACATGAGCGATACGCCAGCTATCAGGATGCTGCAGAACAGGGTGACTGCTGTGGTGATCATCTGCCAATATGAGAAAAAGATACCAGGCCACTTTTCACAACTCCATCTTGATAATCTTAGGGTACATTTTTGATGAACAATATATCTCCACCGTTTTACATACTCTAGTACAGTGGTTCTTTTAAAAAGATAAGTGTATGCAGGGAATATAAGTTACTTGGAGAGAAATTGAGGTTTGCTTGTAGCCACACAAGGTCTTTAGATGTTTCTTTCATTGTACAGCAATTGGTTACCAGCACAGCCACTGGTTTCCTTTACAAGGCATCTAAATGATTTCTTTCAGATGTTTTCTTTACTTCTAAGTTTCTGTTCACTTTCATGTATACTTCATGCATACTTCAGTCACTAGAGATGTTTTTATGTTAATCATATTAAAAATAAATAATTATAGCTAATATTTATGGAGCACTAACCAGATGCATAGTCTTATTCCCACAAAAACACAATAAATTTCAAAATTGCAAAACAGAAAAAAAAGGTAAGAAATCAAAATTATGTGGAAAGGTTTTTTAAAAACACACATCTTTGGACTCTACCCCTAAAGAATTTTGCAGGTCCCTTGGCTGGGTGCGGTGGCTCACACCTGCAATCCCAGCACTTTGGGAGGCTGAGGTGGGTGGATCACAAGGTCAGGACTTCAAGACCAGCCTGGCCAATATGGTGAAACCCAGCCTCTACTAAAAATACAAAAATTAGGCACAGTGGCAGGCACCTGTAATCCCAGCTATTTGGGAGGCTGAGGCAGGAGAATCACTTGAACCCAGGAGGCAGAGGTTGCAGTGAGCCAAGATCACGCCACTGTACTCCAGCCTGGGCGAGAGTAAGACTCTGTCTCAAAATAAAAATACAAATAATAAAAAAAAAGAATTCTGCAGTTCCCACAAGCCTCCTACTCTATAGCTTTTCAAGCATACTTTTCCTAGATACATTTTGTCCTGAAATTTATATTTATGATAGGATTAAGAGTCAGGAATTTGACGTTTATCATTACTGCTAACTTATTAAATGGTTTTAAATCAATCACTCTTTTCTCCAGTAGAGGAAACACAATCCCTCAGTGTGTTTAAAAACATTCAAAATGTTTTAAGCATTTAGAAATCTTCAACTAAAAATGGACTTAAACGTGTAAAATGTTAATGTTGCAGGTGAGACAAAGTGGCAGAGGATCACCAATGTGATATGCAATAAACTGAAATAGATTTTCAAAGTTAATTTTAACGTAAGTCTAGCAAGGCACATTAAAAAGCTAGAGACATTCTCAAGAACAGAACTGCCAATAAGCTCTTCCCACCTGTTCTTTTCCATAAAAGAAGGCGGAGTCAATGCTATCTCCATTGTGTTTTCCGGTTATCAAAAGAACACCAACAAGGAGAGCAGGAATTCTGTAATCACAATGGTTATTAGGAGAGAAAAAGAAAGGATGAATAGTAACTGTGTATATGGAAACATGTAAGAAAACAGAGAACTACCAACTTACCCCCAGCCAGATATGATGATGATTCCAACAGGAATTTGTACCCTCTCTCGCTTTTTCAAAAGAAACAAAGAAATTGCTAGAAGTCCTGAGAACAAGAAAATTGAAAGAGACAATTACTCAACATTACTCAGACTTCATGGAACTTTACTTCCTTTTTATTTTTTCAAACTAAGCTTATTTCGTAGTAGTCTGTGTTTTTTGCTTTAGAATTTATTCCTTCTAAATAAATGCTATCCCCAATATTTTGAAGCAAGTTTTAATTTAAAATTATTCATGCTTTCCCTCATATATTATTTTTTTACTCAAATCTTTTTCTCTGTGAGGATTTATTTTTTTTTGGTTTTTTGTTTGTTTTTTAGATAGGGTCTCCTCTGTTGCCCAGGCTGGAGTGCAGAGGTGTGATCACAGCTCCCTGCAGCCTCGACTTCCAGGATTCAAGTGATCCTCCCACCTCAGCCTCCTGATTAGCTGGGATCACAGCCATATGCCACCGTGCCTGGCTAATTAAAAATTTTTTTTGTAGAGACAGAGTCACACTATGTTGCCCAGGCTGTTCTTGAACTCCTGAGCTCAGGAGATCTTCCCATCTCTGTCTCCCAAAGTGCTGGGATTACAGGCACGAGCCATTGCACCTGTGGAAGTATTTCTTTCCAAAAGCCCTAATCATTTTATTGTTTTGACTCATGTGTTTGGAATCTAAGTATAATAGAAAAACATTTTTTTTTTCTTTAGACAGAGTCTTACTCTGTCACCCAGGCTGGAGTTCAGTGGCATGATCTCAGTTCACTGCAACCTTTGCCTCCCTGGTTAAAGCAATTTTCATGTCTTAGCCATACGAGTAGCTGGGATTACAGAAGTGTACCACCACACCAGGCTAATTTTGTAATTTTAGTAGAGATGGGGTTTCACCACGTTGGCCATGCTGGTCTTGAACTCCTGGTCTCAAGTGATGCATCCGCCTTGGCCTCCCAAAGTTCTGGAATTACAGGCATGAGCCACTGGGCCCTGCTGAAGAACATAACCGAATATGGAACAATTCAAAAAATAAAAACACCCACCTCTTCTGGTGCTAAGAAGCATTGGCAGGCCTAACACTTTGGGAGGCCGAGGCAGGCAGATCACCTGAGGTCAGGACTTCGAGACCAGCCTGACCAACATAGAGAAACCCTGTCTCTATTAAAAATAGGAAATTAGCTGGGTGTGGTGGCGCATGCCTGTAATCTCACTACTCAGGAGGCTAAGGTAGGAGAATTGCTTGAACCTGGGAGGTGGAAGCTGCGGTGAGCCAAGATTGCGCCATTGCACTTCAGCCTGAGCAACAAGAGCGAAACTCCGACTCGAAACAAAACAAAACAAAACAAAACAAAAAACAGAAGTATGGGCAACTCTTACCCAGGTTATGTTTTTAGAAAACACCTTAAGTGTAATGATAGCGCTTGATATAAACACACTCTGAATACAAACACAAATGTTTTGAAGTTCTTGAACTTTCCTTATAACTTACATATAATTATTTATTCAAGTAACATTTTATTTAATAAATTCTACACAGTTGTAAGATCTTAGAACTTTAGAGTTGAAAGGGACCTCTATTTTAAATTAGCACCTTCATTTTATAGATGTGGAAATGAGGGTTTGCCCAAGTCATGTAGCCAGCAGAGGGCAGAGTGGGACTAGAAACCTAGTCTTTTGACACAAGCTAAATTCTTCCTTTCTTGAGTCAGTTTCCCAAACTCAGATTTGTGGACCCCTAGGGTGCCTAAGACATATTCTTCAGGATCTGGAAATTTCTATGAGAAATTTTAAGTTTTTTGTTTTTTCTTCAATGGTAGTCCTCTGTGTATCCACCTTGTAACCAACGTGCAGTCTCATGATTTCAGAATTTACATTGGGTTTATTTTCATTTATTTTTGAGATGGGGTCTCACTCTGTTGTCCAGGTTGGAGTGCAGTGGCACAGTCATAGCTCAAAATTCTGGGCTCAAGGGATCCTCTTGCTGCAGCCTCCTGAGTAGCTGGGACTACAGGCCTGCACCAGCATGCCCAGCTAATTTTCAATTTTTTTTTTTTTTTTTGTGAGATGAAGTCTTGCTTTGTCACCCAGGCTGGAATTCAGTGGCACGATCTTGGCTCACTGCAACCTCTGCCTCCCAGGTTCAAGGAATTCCCTGCCTAAGCCTCCTCTGTAGCTGGGATTACAGGCACCCGCCATCACATCTGACTAATTTTTGTGTTTTTATTAGAGACAGGGTTTCACCATCTTGGCCTGGCTTGTCTTGAACTCCTGACCTCATGATCCACCACCTAGGCCTCCCAAAGTGCTGGGATTACAGGCGTGAGCCACCGCACCCTGCCTAATTTTCAAATTTTTTATAGAGAGAAAGTCTTACTATGTTGCCCAGGCTACTCTTGAACTCCTGGCCTCAAGCGATCCTCTAGCCTGGATTTCCCAAAGTGTTGGGATTACAGGCATGAGCCACTGTGCCTGTCCAGACCTTATATTGGGTTTCATATTAAGTTTGAGTCAAGTGAAGGCCAAATGATATTACAACACACAGTCCAAATGAAGTGGTAGTTTGAAGAAAGAAAATCAGTAAGATAACAAGGTCAAAACCCCAACACAGAAGTAAAGGCAAGACAAAAATGCTACAGCAATGAGTTCCATTTTATGTGTCAAGCTGTGATTTACATTAGCAAAACAAGATCCTTTGTCATATTAATTTATGTTGCTAATTAGAATTACTTGGTTTGTAGTTTTGTTTGAATAGAATCTGTGAATTTGCTTTGGTTTTAGAATTGGATATTTCTATGAGAAATTTTAAGCTGTAAAGAATATATACCTAGATTTATGATTGTACAGCTCAAAGAACACTGTGTTAGAATTAATATAAATTGACATCGAGGTCCTTGAGAATTGGTTTTCTTTACCACTGTTCCTCCCTCAATCCATTTGTACACTGTATAGTTGCAGTGCCAGGGAAACAAGTAACCAGCCACAAAAGGGTGCCATCTGTGTTACAGCAGCAAAGGCAGTCTTTAAAATTCTAATGTGTTTCACTCCAGCCTTGTGAAAAGAACTATATACAAACAGGCAGAATCCAGCTAGCCCTGGATCTCTCAGTGAAGAAGCTGTGAGAGCTTCTGCCTAAATCAGTCTAACTTTCTGGGTCTATTTCTCAGTTTGCAAAATGAAGGATTTAAATTAGACCAGTGTTTCCTAAGGTGTGGAGACTATAGATGTCACAAAGGTGAAAATGTTTTGACTGGTTATACATTTATTTTAATGTACATTTTAAAAAATTAATTAGCAAATGAAACCTGGGATTTTATTGATATAAGGCTCAACTGATTAAAGAAAAAAGCAAATCAATTTTAAGGAAAAAAGAACAAGTAGTATGTAGATATGGCGAAAACTGTGAGGATGGTATGAAAATGAGTAAAGCTAAAAATGATCAAATGGGATGATTTAAAATGACATTTTCAGGTCTAAAATTCTGCAATAGCATAATAATCTGATAGTTAAAGGGCACTTTTATTAGGTTTAGGGAATTCAGAACAACTTATTTGAATAGATTTTGCCATGCATGCTTGAAGAGGGTTTCAGAGAGACTTAGGGCCTTTAATAGATTGATCTAGTTGCTGCTCTCTTATTCTGATTATAAAGTTAACCTGAATAACCCTAGTTAAAGTTAGTCCACTGATATTTTGAAATATAAAGTCTTTAGGCTCTTTTAACTTGACATTGCATAAAAACTCATGCTATGCAAGATGCACTTGCCTTTAGGAAGCACAAACCATCTTCTGTTTGTGCTAAATTTTTCATTCTGTGAGTCCTCACCACATTGTTGCTTCACTTCAAAAGGCTGTTGACTGAGATGGGACCTGCTTTTGATCCTGAAAGCATGAAATCAAAGGTCCATCCTTTGCAGCCACTTCCTGACACCTGCCTCCTACCGTTCTACTATTTCCTTTCATGTGCTATTTTACACGTTCAAATTTGTAGGATGAATATAAAATAGCCAGACAGAATTTTTCACAAACATACCAGAATGTATACATCCAAATAAATATTACACTTCAACACAGCAATGTGCTAGAACATTTCGGATATCATTTTTGGAGCCAGTTGAAAGGAGAAACAGTCTTTCTCATTAGGTCCTTTTCTCTGTCTTTTTATTCCCCTAGTTTTCTTGTTCTCATATTACCTCTAATCCTTCTATTTAATAACTAACACAGTTCCATTTGTTTAGTGCCTACCATGTACCAGACATAAATATTCACATTTCATTTCATCCTTAAAATAACTCCGTAAGGTGCTGTAACCCAATTTTACAGATGAGGAAACTGAGGTTTCAAAAGTTAAGTAGGCCAGGTGCAGTGGCTCATGCCTGTAATCCCAACACTTTGGGAGGCCGAGGTAGGTGGATCACAAGTCAGAAGTTCGAGACCAGCCTGGCCAACATGGTGAAATCCCCCATCTCTACTAAAAATAGAAAAATTAGCCAGGCATGCTGTCAGGCACGCTGTCAGGCACCTGTAATCCCAGCCACTTGGGAGGCTGAGGCAGGAGAATCACTTGAACCCGGGAGGCAGAAGTTGCAGTGAGCCAAGATCATATCACTGCACTCCAGCCTGGGTGTCAGAGTGAGATGCCATCTCAAAAAAAAAAAAATGTTAAGTAATCTGCATGAGGCAGAGCCAGAGCCAGAATTTCCCTGCTCAGCAGGACTCAATAATAAGCTCTGGAATACACCTCATGCATCTTGCCCATTCCCTCCTTTCTCCATCTGCCTCTAGTGTTTGCCCTGTTGTCTTCAAAAGGGAGCAGCACTGACAGCAGCCTAGAGCCATAGGCCCTGGGGAAAAGGACCACATGACTGGACAAGGCCCTGAGCTCCGGCAGGAATAGAGTACATTAGGAAACAGAACTCAGCTTTGCCGATGGCTTCTGTGGGTGGGCTGATCTGCTTCAGTGCATGCCTTGATCCTATACTACCAGACTTCAAATAGATTACTAGAAGCTCAGGTCTATAAGGAATGGAGTGGGATGGGGAACAGACTTCAATTTTCATTCACAATCCAACTCACCTGTCCACAGGTAGGTGCTATAGAGGGAGCTGTACAATAGAACAAACACCAAAATTTGTCCAACAAAATTTTTTTCTTTAACAAAATTCCATATCATCATTCCAGCACAGACAATAGACTAAGGAAAAATTAAAAGACTTTGTAAATAGCTAAGAAAACCATATAATTCAATACTGTAACAGAAAATTCCAATTAAGCCAGTCATATTCATGTTTCATTCACAGCAAACATAATTGTTCATTTAAAATTTTTTATGAATAATTATCAAGTATTCCATACTACTTATACTAAAACTTCAAGCTTTATGTTAAAAATTATTTTTATACAAAGCCTTTGACAATATACATATTCAATTGAAACAGATGACTACATTTTAAATATTAATCTTATACCTGTATTTAGTAATGGCTTAAATTAAAATTGCTAAAGTTTTTTTCCATTATAATTTGAGATATGCAAGGATTAGAAAAATAAGACTGTGAAAGTTCAATTATTAATAATTCAATTGTTTCTATTAAAAAATGCAAAGTTATCATTGAATGTAATTATTAGCCTCAGCTTTAGATAATTTAAGACATTTTGCAATATTAAATATGTTAGGCACATACTAATTGTAATCAAACTGTAATTGACTGCATTTGGTAATACTTCTGACTTTATAACTGAGAAAACCTAGCAAAGTTATTATTCCTCTATAATAGAATAATCCATGAGAAAAACATAGCTCTAAATATCAGTAGTTTTACTAACCTGAGCAATGAGTAAATTAGTTGTAAGCATATGAGGAAGCTGTTTATATTTCTTGCTCAAAAGAAGAATAGCCAGAGACCAGATCTTGAAGACAAAAGGTTCAAACATTATTTATGTTTCTTAATCTTTATAATCATAATTAAATAACATAATAATTAGCTTCTTTAAATAACCCTCTTTATCCTGGTTCAGAAAGAATTTCCAATATTTTATTTAACCTGTCTGGTTCCAAAAAGGTAAATTATTATAGCCAATGTTAAATAACAAGCATGGAGAGATCCCATAATAAATTAACTCTCCAAAAATTACAGAGAATTTAAGAACTGATATGGCCAGTCATGGTGGCTTACGCCTGTAATCCCAGCACTTTGGGAGGCCAAGGTGGGCAGATCATGAGGTCAGGAGTTTGAGACCAGCCCAGCCAACATAGTGAAACCTCATGTCTATTAAAAATACAAAAATTAGCCAGGTGTGGTGGCAGGCACCTGTAATCACAGCTACTAGGGAGGCTAAGGCAGGAGAACTGCTTGAACCCAAGAGGCAGAGGTTGCTGTAAGCCAAGATCATGCCACTGCACCAGCCTGGGTGACAGAGCAAGACTCTGTCTCAAAAAACAAACAAACAAAAAGAACAAATGCCTTGGCCAGGCAGAGTGACTTAGGAGTTCGAGACCAGCCTGACCAACATGGTGAAACTCCCATCTCTACTGAGTGTGGTGGCACATGCCTGTAATCCCAGCTCCTTGGGAGGCTAATGCAAGAGAATTACTTGAAACCCGTGAGGCAGCAGTAGAAGTGAGCTGAGCCAAGATCATGCCACTGCACTCCAGCCTGAGTGACAGAGGGACACTCTATCTCAAAAAAATAAAAAAAAGAACTAATGCCTTGACCAGGGCCATGTTCTACCTGTGCCTACCTTCAGTGTCTGGGGTGGGACACAGGGTCACAGACAACTATTCAGGAAAGGAGCTTTAGTGGGAGTTAGTTATAAGTTATATTAAAACATATACATGTTTTAATATAAGTTTTTTCTATTTCCACCACATTGGCTCATGGGATATCTAAATGCCAGGCTGTTTCACTTCAAACAACACATAGCACCCACCTTTAAGATTAATCATCTTACATTCTCATGTTTTATTCTTTTTGTGTGTGTGACACAGAGTCTCATTGGAGTGCAGTGGTGCAATCTCAGGTTACTGAAACCTCTGCCTCCCAGGCTCAAGTGACTCTCATGCCTCAGCCACCCAAGTAGCTGGGATTACAGATGCGCACCACCATACCTGACTAGTTTTGTATTTTTGGTAGAGATAGGGTTTCTCCATGTTGGCCAGGCTGGTCTTGAACTCCTGGCCTCAAGTGATCTGCTGGCCTTGGCCTCCCAAAGTATTGGGATTACAGGCATGAGCCATGGTGCCAAACCACATTCCTCATATTTTAAAGGATTGGGTTTCCATTCTACCTACATAGTGGCCAGGTAAGTATCCTGGCTGACTTTCTTCTTTCTTTCCTTATTGCCAACTGAAATGTATATGGTCTTTTTCTCCACTGCCCTGTGATGAGTGGGTGTAGTAGATTTTCAGAATATGTGACAGAGGTGGAATTTCTTTAAAATTAATCACACATTTATTTGTTACCAATATACATATTCACCCCCCATCTCCTTTCCTTTAACTGCTTTAACTGTACACATTGTCTTTTTTTCGGCCAGAATATCTGTAGTTTTACTAACATGAATTCAATAGGCCGTTTCATCTGTACTCTAGCTATCATTGCTTAATTATTTAATTTTGAGCTAGATATATTCGATCTGAGAAGCAGCCAAAAGTTTCATTAACATTAAATAGGCTGTTGGACTTGATCTCAAAGGTCCCTTCTGACCCCATGATTCCCATGATTCTAGAACAGCTAGGAATTCTATAGTGATTCATCATTTGCAGAATGCTTTTCATATATATTATTTCATTGAATCCCTTAAAACACTCATGGAAATATGTAAAATTATTGTCATTATTTTACAGCTGGAAAACAGAAGCTTAGAGAGGTTAAGGTGACTCTACAGAGACACATAGCTAATTTATGAGAGGGCCAGGAAGAAAATCCAGGTCTGACTAAATCTCATGTCTCGTGTGCTACAAAACTCACTCCCAAATGGAAAGACGAAACTCAGTTAATCAGAAGGCTGATATTAGATTTTATGAGCAGGTTTCAGCTTTCTGAAACTAGATTTTTAAATTCCTTTCTATTACCAATCTATTCTCAAAGCTTACTCTGTGGTTTCCAATCATTTTGGCATGGCAACGTACTTACCAAGGAGATCAGGCTGACAATACTTATATCGAAACTAACATTCTGGATGGCATATGCCAATGGCTTAGGGTCCATAGTGGGAAAGGTCAGTAACCAGGCAGAAACGTACATGATGGGAGCAGACACAAATGTGCTTATCACCATCCCTGAGGTTATCTGCAAAAATGAAATCAAACGGAGGAATTACAATCTCAATTAAATATATTTTAAACTTTAAATAATCAGGGCACACTAAAGCACTCTAAAATAAAGATGAGAGTTAGTAAAGATATTATAAAATCCAGCATGTTATCCAATACCATACTTTCTCTTTCTGAGAATCCTTAATAGAAAACACAATTAAGTTACCTTGGCTCCTCTTCCAATCTATGCTTAATTTATATTTATGCATAATAAATACTAGAAATTCCACTATTGATGGTTATCTTCTAGGTTCTAGAAAGTAAACCATAGCAATGATCATAAACTATAGGGCAAAAAAAAAAAAAAAAGGAATTCAAAAAGAAAAGTTACCATGCAAATATTTATTTTACAGTTTAAATAACCAGAACTGACCTCCATTAAACAACTTAGTTCCTTATTATATTTTAAAATCATGTACTCTGATGCTGTAGATACCATGTACAATACATTTAGACACTGTTAATAATTTGGTGTCAATTGATTTTAGCTATTTGTTACAGTTGATTATGTGGTATTTTGCAGCTGGTGCTTGAAACTATCAACCAATAAAACAGACTTTTTTTTCTTCAAAATTTCAGTTACTTTTCTGTAAATAATTTTTAGGTTTCAGTATAAGTACAGAAATAAAATAACTAAAACCAAAAAAGACTAATAAAGAAGGTCATGGCTGACTAAAGATCCCAAATTAAATGACTGTTGTTACATTGTTACATGATGCCATTCCTTACAATGAGGTAGCTTATAGACATCAAATTCTTATAAAAAACAATGTTGCTTGCTCTGTCACCCGGGCTGGAGTGCAGTGGTACAATCTTAGCTCAAGGCAACCTCTGCCTCCCGGATTCAAACAAATCTCATGCCTCAGCCGCCCAAGTAGCTGGGATTACAGGCATCTACCACCACACCCAGCTAATTTTTGTAGTTTTAGTAGAGATGGGGCTTCACCATGTTGGCCAGGCTGGTCTTGAACTCCCAGCCTCAAGTGATCTGCCCACCTTAACCTCCCAAAGTGCTGGGCCTCATAAAAAACAACATTGCTTTATATGTTTAGAAATTTAAAATGGGCTGGGCATGGTGGCTCATGCCTGTAATCCCAGCACTTTGGGAGGCTGAGGCAGAAGGCAGGAGTTTGAGACCAGCCTGAGGCAACGCAGGCTCCATTAATTCATTAATTATGAATTAATGAAAAATTCATTTTTTTAAATGAATTAAAATTTTTTTTCCTACTAAACACACAATCAAACTTAGAAAGTAGTATATACATACAATTTCTACTTCCATGTTGAACTGTGTTGCAAAGATAGCCACTCCTGGTGCTACAGGAAAGACACCATACAGAAACGCGTAATTCGATAAACTTGTGTGATTTACTACACTGTCGCCCTTGTCCAAGAGTTCCACCATTTCTCTGCACAGAAGTGGCAGCACCAGACTGAAGAAAAAAGAAAAACATCATTTACTTGATATCAAAGCACGCTGGTCCACCGTAGCAGACTGCTCTGGTGAATGTGGCATTAGGTTCTTCTCCTGCCCAGAAGGTATGTCTATTTGCATGCACATATTCTAGGCATGTCAACTTGGGCACATTTTGCTGAAAGAATCAAGAATTCAGTGTGGAGCCATTTAAAGGGTAACAATATTCTGGAAATATCTCACACATCAGGGATTAGGAGGGAAAAAATATTTTTTCGGTTCCACAAATATTTTTTTTTTTTTTGCCAAACAATGGTAAAAGTTGCAATTCTAGCTACTTTCTTGCTTCCTCTATTGGTTTACTGAAATGTTCAAAGAAAGAAAGAAGGTTGACAATCTGAGTAAAAACTTATTTCAAGAGAATTACTAAACTTTTTTCTTTCAAAGTATTCTAGAGAGGGAGAAACTCCTTTTTTGAAAAAAAAAAAAAAATATTTGTAAAACAAAACTTTATCATGATTGGGGGTTGAAATGGTTCAGTTAATGGTAACAACAGTGCTCAATAAGATTCTAAAATCCTGTAGAAAAGTAGATATCTTCAAGTAGCTCTTCATCTTTGTAAATACCAAAAAATTTTAGCAAAGGGAACTAAAACAACTGAGAGCAGAAAACTAGTGAAATGCAGACCTGTTGAAGAGTCAATTATTAAACAAATCCTTCAGGATTCCAAAGAAAGAGCGAATCCATAGTAACTGAGAAAATGGGGCTCTCCTTTGAAATCAACAAGACCAAGATTGATAACATTTTCACAGCAGCCCCAAACAAGCACTCTGGGATGGAGAAAAGAACTACTCTTATCTGTATTTTTTTAATTAAAAAATGTAAATATCTAATAAGTATCAAAGACACCCCCAAAATCTTTAAAATTAGAATATTTAAATTCTACTTATAAGCCAAAGTTGATAATACCATTATTGTTAAAATTATACTTATTACTTCGGCAATACTAATACTTTATTTCTGAAGAGCATAACATCACAATAAATAATTTTCAGTACTTATATTCATTTTTATTACTATAAAAATATAAATATGTTGCACTGGTCTCATGAATATAACTGTCCATACACAAGGGGAATTCCACAGTTAAGTATGCCCCAAGTGCTTTGGGATAATCTTGCAGCAAAATTATGTCACCTGCACCATGAAGTAGAACTCCATGGCTAATGGACCAAGTAAGCTGAAGAACTATTAACTAAGAAGTTGAGGCCAGGTATGGTAGCTCATGCCTGTAACCCTACCACTTTGGGAGGCCGTGGCAGGCAGATTACCTGAGGTCAGGAGTTCAAGGTCAGGCTGGCCAACATGGTGAAACCCCATCTCTACTAAAAAATACAAAAATCAGTCGGGTGTGGTGGCAGGCACCTGTAATCTCAGCTACTTGGAAGGCTGAGGCAGGAGAATCACTTGAACCTCTGAGACGGAGGTTGCAGTGAGCCGAGGTTGCGCCACTGCACTCCAGCCTGAGTGACAAAGTAAGACTCCGTCTCAAACAAAAAAACAAAAAAGAAGGCGATAAGCATTTTTCATTTGGCAAGTCAGGATCATATGGCTGATAATAATCATTCACATTGACTTAGCTATATTTAGAAAGTTTAGCCAACCTCAGAACTACAAAACACTTTTCCTAAATTCATGAAAAAAATTATATTATAAATTATTGTTCTCGTTATTACTAAGATGCTTTTGTCTTTAGAATCTTCATGGATCTGGAAAAGTCAGAAATGCTGCAAAATTTATTGGAAAATACTGTTAAACTGGGACATGAGGAGATACTGAGTAAACTTTATGTAAAAGCTGAAGGGAAACCGATTGTCTTTACCTTCTGACAGTGAAATGGAAAGAACAAGCTGCAGGGGATAAGGAAATGACTTTCCACAATACACCAACATCACATCTTCCTTTAACTCACAACTACTCTACAAGGAGGGATTATTAATATTCAAAGGGGAAAATGGTTGCAGATCCACACCCCGATGAATTGGCTAAATACGAATTCCAAAAAGCACAATTCTCAAGTTAAATAAGTGATACTTACAGTTTAGCTGTGATGAGAAGAATTAGTACAACAAATGCTGACTTCTTCAGTCTCTTTATTTTTCCTACCATCGTGAGACCAAGATAAAATAGGGCTGATCCAGAAAAAGAATTTCCAAGTCCATCAAGAAAATTTTCTACATATACAGGTACCTTTCGATCAAGAATAAAATTGAAGGCGATGCCAATGAAGACCATAAATACTATTGGGTTCTGTAATACACGCAGAAGTCCGAGTCCCACAATTTTTACTTTATTTTGAGAAGCATTTTGAGTGTCTTTCCACTTTTGGATTTCACAGAAGATAAAGCCTATAGGGTTTAACATCATAAGAGATATTGGTGCCACCAAATAAATGTACTGGAGATATTCTGGATATGTAGTTTGATATAAAGCTTCAACTGCAAAACAAGAATATTGATTTTTAAATGATGACCACAGAAATACAAATATATGTTATGTATATAACATTTTCTGTACTTAATTATAGCAATGATAAATTAACAAAATTTTCAAAATGACCCAAATAACCTATTTTTGAAAAGTACATTTTAGTAATAAAGCTGAAAAAAGAAAATGTAATAAATATAGCTTATAAAATGATAACCAAATTTAAACATTATTTTTAACCCTCACTAATTATTACTATCTAAGGGTTAAAATTGGTCTCCAAAATGGGCAGAATTATAGAATTTTCAGAAGAAACAATTCCAAGTAAAAATCTAGGGACAAACTAAACATTTAAGTAGTATTAGCAAAAATGTGATTTTTGGTATCCATGGAGAGAGCAGTTTTACCGGACTAATAAAAGACAGAAGTCAGGTCACAGAGGACTGAGAAGAGAGTTAGGAGATAAGGAAATAAAAAAAGAGCACAGATGTGATGGAGTCCACACCCTGGAACAAAAGAAACGAAGACAGGAGATGGTTGAGGCCTCTAGGAATTAGGGGCAGTTGGAGGTAAAAGAGTTCAGAGAATATCAGACAATAAGCAACTCAGTTAAATATTTCCCAGATGACTAGGGGACTTGGTGGCTGCAATGGAGTAAAGGAAAACATCACTGGAGACGAGGAGGTCAAGGAAATGACAGGGCAGAGAATTTCATGATAGTTCACAAGATAACGGCAAAACTTGAGATAAAGATGACAGTACATGGGATATGAATGAGGGGGCAGGCGCAGAATGAGGTCAGCAGGTAATAGCAGAGAGAATGAGTGGTCTAGCCAGAGGGCATGAACCTCAAAGTAGTTTTTTTTTTTTTTTTTTTTTTTTTTTGAGACGGAGTTTCGCTCTTGTTACCCAGGCTGGAGTGCAATGGCGCGATCTCGGCTCACCGCAACCTCCGCCTCCTGGGTTCAGGCAAGTCTCCTGCCTCAGCCTCCTGAGTAGCTGGGACTACAGACACGCGCCACCATGCCCAGCTAATTTTTTGTAGTTTTAGTAGAGACGGGGTTTCACCATGTTGACCAGGATGGTCTCGATCTCTTGACCTTGTGATCCACCCGCCTCGGCCTCCCAAAGTGCTGGGATTACAGGCTTGAGCCACCGCGCCCGGCCCAAAGTAGTTTTTAACAACAGAGCAGAGGGATGGTCTAGCAATGGTCCACAGTAGCTGTGAGGATGCCAGTCCAGCCTTCCACTGCTCATGTGGTGTGCTGGCAATGGGAAAGTGAACAACCTCCATTTGAGAAGGATGAAAAGGAATGAATGCTTTCAAAGAAGACTGGTAGAGATATCAAAGGAGTGGAGATAGAAAGGTAGATCTTAGAATGTTTGGGAGGGAAGTACGGTAGAGTCACATCAATACACATTTAATTAAACAAATTCAACCAAACAGAAGCTTAATTTCCCCCAACCTCCATAGCATGTTTCTAAGTGCAAATGAATTATTTCAACTGCTGTTCATTGAAGAACAATGCTAGCTAAAAAAATCTGGCTGTGTTAGACTTATGAAAAATGGTACAATATAGACAAATTACATGTGCTGTATTTGGTGGGCATTTTCTTTCTTTCTTTCTTTTTTTTTTTTGAGACGGAGTCTTGCTCTGTTGCCAGGCTGGAGTGCAGTGGCGCAATCTCAGCTCACTGCAACCTTTGCCTCCTGGGTTCAAGTAATTCTTCCGCCTCAGCCTCCCGAGTAGTTGGGACCACAGGCGTGTGCCACCACGCCCAGCTCATTTTTATATTTTTAGTAGAGACGGGGTTACACCATGTTGGCCAGGATGGTCTCAATCTCTTCACCTCATGATCCGCTCACCTAAGCCTCCCAAAGTGCTGGGATTACCGGCGTGAGCCACCACGCCCGGCCTTGGTGGGCATTTTCAAGAGTCTGAGTATATATACAAGATGACTTTAGAACCTAACCACTGCAGAAGATTTTTTTTTTTTTTTTTTTTAAATCTCATGAGGGAGGTGAGTGAGTTGGATCAGACTTCTAGCAGTTTCCTGGAAGATGTGAGGGTTTGTGACCTAGTGTTGCGTTTATGAGAGCAACTTAGGGCCTTTTCAGTAAACAACCTGGTCTGTAGCACATTTTTGGCAATGGGTCCTGAAATTATACAATCTAATACAAACAAAGCCTGATTTATAATCGACTTGAAGTTGATAACAATGAAAAAGAACAGCCACAATTGCTCACAAAGAGAGAGGCAACCAGGTGAAAACATGTAAAAGATTAGGTTTCTCAATTTACACTAAGATAAAGTGACATAAGTGGGAAAATACATTTGTTTACTTATTCAGGATATAAAAGTTCAGTTAATGTCATGCACATGTCCCATTAAAGTTATATAAGTAGATTATATAACTCTCAGAAGTTCACCTTTTTCTTAAAAGCTGAAACCTATTTTTCAACAGATTCAATCCCCATTTTCTCAGCTAAGTAAATTTAGAGATCTATATTATCTCCAAAACAAAGCAGTGGTTAAAAAATATTTGATAACATAAAATTTTGTAAGTTATTTCCACTAATTTTCAAATTAGATATGCTAGTTATGTAAGTTATTGGTTTTCTTTCAGGTTTCAGAAGGCTTCATCTTTTAAACAAAAAGCAGCACTTTCGATAACTATTTTTAGATAATTATATTTCTGATTCTCTTGAGATATTTTACCTCAAGAGAAGGATGTTCATACCTGTCCACCACTCAATTTTTATAATAGAGCATATATTTTGGAAGAGTCTTGTGTTTTCATCTAAGTATAAGAATTTTTCCTAACCAGCCACAATAAGATGCATAACAGCTATACATTTCTATGATCTACTCAAAGCCGCTATCTTAATGCCTTTTTCCAGAAATTAACTTTCCTGGCACACTAGCATTTAATCACCACCACAGAAAAAACTTTACATTGTTTTAAGAACTCAGTGCAAATTTAAGCAATAGTGTTTATATCTGGCCAATCACCACTTTCTTTCTTCCTTTGAAGGATTTTCTCTTCTTGATTGCTACTATAATCATTAGTCAAAAATCTCAAAATTAGATTACTTCATGTGTTTACCAACTAACATTCTCTTGGACCTTCTTCATCCATTTTATTCACTGCTAACAGGACCATCTAAATCTAAACTTTTAAAAGGTAAGATTTTCTCAAGGCTCTCACTGCCCACAGGAACAGCTACAAAACCTTTCTTTTACCATCCACAGTCGAGTCTCCACAATTGGGCCCTTACTTATCCACCCCATCCTTAATGCAAAGACTCCATCAGCTAATTTAATAACACAGTTATACCAGACAACCGCCACATTCATAATGATTCGTTCTATATGCTGTTCATACCATCACCCTCTAATTTCTTAATCTCCTGTTTTACCTAAATCTCACCTACTACTTACGACCTGTCTCTGGCACTACATTTTCCACCACGTCTTCTACCTATGTCATTAATCTCTCCTTCTCTGGCATGCTATGGTACTTTATTTCATACTAGTGCCACATCAACACATTCTAAGTTCCTTGAAAGCATCATTTTAATAGCCCACAGTCGCTGGCATAATTCTGAGAAAATCTGAAAATACTTGCTGAATGGTATTAACGAACCCATCAATGAATGTCAACAGTTTCGGATGTAGTAAACGTATTTGCTAATACACAGCTCTTTGCATCAAATTGTTGTCAATGAATCCATCTTTATATCCATTTTTAAACTTTATTTTTACTAATTTATTTATTTATTTTATTTTTTATTTTGAGATGGAGTCTCGCTCTTGTTACCCAGGCTGGAGTGCAATGGCACGATCTCGGCTCACTGCAACCTCTGCCTCCTGGGTTCAGGCAATTCTCCTGCCTCAGCCTCCTGAGTAGCTGGGATTACAGGCATGCGCCACCATGCCCAGCTAATTTTTTGTATTTTTAGTAGAGACGGGGTTTCACCATGTTGACCAGGATGGTCTCGATCTCTTGACCTCGTGATCCACCCGCCTCGGCCTCCCAAAGTGCTGGGATTACAGGCTTGAGCCACCGCGCCCGGCTTTACTAATTTATTTTTAACTCATAAATATAAATTATATATTTATAATGTACATGTTTTGAAATATGTATACATTATGGAATGGATAAATCAAGCTAATTAAAATATGTATCATCTCACATATTTGTTTTTTTCTGATGGGAACACAAAATCTACTCTCAGCAATTTTCAAGAAGTGTTGTTATTAACCATTGTCACCATGTTGTACAATAAATCTAACTGAAATTTTGTATCTTTTTTTAATGTTTTACACATTATGAATATTTATAAAGCAGGTTGCTACTGGGGTATTTTAAGTCAGCTGACCAAGTATACAAAGGCAGAATTGTAGTCCAGAGGGAACACATAAAAATTTGTGATTAAATAAATACATGTTAAATTACTAGAATAGGGTTCAACATGGGAATTTCAGTCTACCTCTGTCATTCATTTGCATAATTAACATTATATCTTTATCTATAAATTGGCAGTACTTATTTTTTGCTATCAATCTGAAGACGGTTTTTCAAACCTGAAAAAATATACATGAAAGCTGTATAGTATAGTAACTAAAATTAGATTTATAATCATTATATCAACTTTTAAGTTCTAATTAATTAATGCTTATAAATAAGGCTCTTGGAGGGTGGGGGTAATCACATTATGAGGAGTTATTATATAGCTTTGAAGAACTAAGAGACAAAATTAGCCACCCACTGTGCTTCCTATTTTGATTCCTGCAGGGTTTCCATCCCTAGCATATAACACAAAGACCCAGACAAGATCATTCTATTATGTAATGGCATATAGTTAAATGCTTCATTTCCTTTCTGTTTACAGCTCAAACACTAGAGCATAATTACGATTAGTCAGGGTACTTATGCTATCAGCATTGTTTGAAGAATAAATTATAGGACTTAACTATGCTCTATTAGTATCTTTTAATGACAGAGGCAGGGAACCATTCTAATATGCTGAAATCAACATTTTGCCATGGGAGACTCTTGGTTTCTTCTCATACTTGGATTTTAAAAAGTACTTTAGGAAACAATTGCTCTAAAACACAGTGAGCTTTTATTATTTTTTTTTTAGAGACGGGTCTCACTGTCACCCAGGCTTAAGTACAGTAGCAATCATAGCTCACTGCAGCCTCGAACTCTTGGGATCAACAGATCCTCCTGTCTCAGCCTCCCAAGTAGCTGGGACTACAGGCTTATGCCACCACATCTGGCTAATTTTGCTGCTGTTGTTGTAGAGAGAGGGATTCACTATGTTGTCCAGGATGGTCTCAAACTCCTAGACTCAAGGGATCCCTCTGCCGCGGCCTCCCAAAATGTTGGAATTACAGGCATGAGCCACCATGGGGTCCAGCCTTCTTTTTTAGTTGCTATATGTACTATTCTGTTACTTGAGTAAAAATATATCATTTTAATGTAATTTCATTGACTGTTACAGCTGTCATAGTATGTAGTAAAAGAAAATGTGACTATCCTTTTTCTTTATTCATTAACTTATATCTTCTCCTTGCCAGCATTTCCTGTGTTAACTGCAAATTGGACAGATGAAGAACAAATCCAGTCTTAAAAAGGACATTTCTTGTGACCCATCAATGCTCATCTGTGAGCAAGAGAGTAGGAAGTCCTTGGAGAGGCCAGGAAACAAAAGAAAGAAAGGTCTTTTCTCTGGAGACAGTATTCTTTCTCTTTTCACCAAGAACAAGGTCAGGAGGCAGATGGCACAGCAGCAGTAATACATTACCTCATCAGACAGAGATACTCAGCCCTAATAGTTCTACACCACACCTTCCAATGTCTAGCTATATGAAAAAGCATTTGTGTAATATATTGTTTTTTAGCAAAGTTATATTCTACAACTTAATGTTATAAGAGCTTTCATTACTGTGATTTAAAAAACAAAAACATAAAAACAAAAATTATACCTTGAAATCAACAAACAACCATCAGGGAAATTTGGGCTGACACATGGCTAGAAACGTGATTATTACCAGATTCACTGATTTAATGTGGGACATAAGAAAAGCCGTGATAAAATGGCTGATTACATTTTTTATTTGGAAAGTCTACCTCAATATGACAATAGATTAACTATTCTAATAGGTCTTTTTCCACTACTACTCATTTTATGGAATATTTTAGAGGAAAAGACCCTTTGATTCTTTCTGAAACTAGTATATTACAAGGCTGGGTGGGTTTCTGGAGACTGAACCGACACATTATGTAACTGCATAGCATAAGAGAATGCCCGGGATTTACAACCAGAAGACCTAGGTTTGGGTCTCAATTACCTGCTAGTTGTGTGACCTGGGATAAAATAATTTAAATCTCTGTAAGCCTGTTTCCTTATTTGAAAATGAGGATAATAATATCTGCCCTGCTCAAATAAGATAAGTATATAAGAAAGTACTCTGTAAACTATGCAGTCAGAAATGTTAGTTCTATTTCATTATCAGCTTACTAATCTATGAAAGCATGAATCTATATACTTCTATTTATGTCTAAAGTAAGATACGGCAATATTTATCAGACATTTAAAACCATGGTACTAGGCCGGGCGCGGTGGCTCAAGCCTGTAATCCCAGCACTTTGGGAGGCCGAGGCAGGTGGATCACGAGGTCAAGAGATCAAGACCATCCTGGTCAACATGGTGAAACCCCGTCTCTACTAAAAATACAAAAATTCAGCTGGGCATGGTGGCGTGTGCCTGTAATCCCAGCTATTCAGGAGGTTGAGGCAGGAGAATTGCCTGAACCCAGGAGGCAGAGGCTGCGGTGAGCCGAGATCACGCCATTGCACTCCAGCCTGGGTAACAAGAGCGAAACTCCGTCTCA